TTTTTTCTTTATTCATTCATGGGATGAGGGTGTCGCTGGCCAGGCAGAATTTATTGCCCATCCCTAATTGCCCAGAGTCAACCACATTGCTGTGGGTCTGGAGTCACAAGTAGGCCAGACCAGGTAAGGATGGCAGCTTCCTTCCCTAAAGGGCATGAGTGAACCAGATGGGTTTTTCTGACAATCGACAATGGGTTATTGTTAGACTCTTAATTCCAGTTTTTTAAAAATTGAATTCAAATTCCACCATCTGCTGTGGCAGGATTTGAACGCAGGTCCCCAGAACATTATCTGGGTCTCTGGATTAACAGTCCAGTGATAATACCATCGCCCCCCCACGAGGAATTGAGGATGATCAGGCCAGCCGTGATCTCGTGGAATAGTGGATGGGCCGAATGGCCTATTTCTGCTCCCAGGTCCTGTCAAGAAATGGAGGAAGTGGAGCAAAAGGGAAGATTGGACAAAGGGCTAGGAGGGCGAGGGAGATTAGTGGTCGCAGAACCGAAGGCAAACAGAGCGATAACAGTCGTAGGGACAGAGGGTTGATCCAGGCCACACAAAGATGAAATAAAGGGCAGCTCTGATCCAGGGCTGGTATCAAAACCGAGGATGGAGAGAACAGTCTGAAATGATCGATCTCAGAGTTGAGTCGTCGGAAAGGTGAGCGGCTCTCCCCTCCAGGGAGCGTTCAGATTTGCTAGAACGTTGCATGTAGAGCGTTAGGAGTTAGGACGGAAGTCGGACAGGACATTAGTGAGGCCTTGAAAGTTCGAGAAGAGTTGTAGTCGGGTTGTTGATTTGCTCGCCAACGTTTGGTCACCCTGCTCGGTATCATCATCTGTGCGCCCCCAGTGAGGTGTTGGCGTTCTGTCCCACTTGCTATCCATCTGTCTTGGGTTGCTGGGGTGCGTGACATCCCTTCCGGATCTGTTTCTTAGCAGTTGGTGCGTGGGGGTCCAGCTCTACATGTTTGTTAATGGAGTTCCGGTTCGAGTGCCAGGCCTCCAGGAATTCTCGTGCGCGTCTTTGCTTGCTGGGATGGCAACGTGGGCAAAGAGGGATGCCAATTCGACTGGGACCATGTGGCCCATCCTAGGACGATGCCGAGCGAAGGCGCGCATGAGAATTCCTGGAGGCCTGGCACTCGAACCGGAACTTCATTAACAAACACGTAGAGCTGGACCCCCACGTACCCGAGACAGACAGATAGCAAGTGGGACAGAATGCCAACACCTCACTGGGGGCGCACAGACGATGATACCTAGCAGGGTGACCAAACGTCTGCGAACAAACTTACCGTCAAGTCTACAACCGCATTGGTAAGGCCTCTTCTGGAGCACTGTGCCCAGTTCTGGTCGCCCTGTTATAGGAGAGGATATTACTAAATTGGAAAGGGTTCAGAAGAGATTTACCAGGACGTTGCCAGGAATGGAGGGCTTGAGTTCTAAGGAAAGGCTGGGACTTTTTTTTACACTAGAGTGCAGGAGGTTGAGAGGTGGCCTTATAGAGGTCTATAAAATCATGAGGGGTATGAATAAGGTTAATGCTCTTTTCCCTAGGGTGGGGGGACATATTTTTAAGGTGAGAGGAGAGAGATTTAAAAACGACACGAGGGGTAAAAGTTTTTACACGGAAGGTGGTTCACACGTGGAATGGTCTTCCAGAGGAAGTGGTGGATGCACGTACAGTTTAAAAGACATTTGGAGTAAGTACATGAATAGGAAAGGTTTGGAGGGAGATGGGCTAGGAGCAGGCAGATGGGACTAGTTTAGTTTGGGATCACGGTCGGCACAGACTGGATGGGCCGAAGGGTCTGTTTTCCGTGCTGTGCGACTCCATGTTAGTAGCAGAAACATTAATTCCCTTCCTCGCTCTGGCCACAGATTCTGCCGAGTTTCTCTTTCTGCTTTAATTCCCGGAGTCCATTCTCGGAAAACAATCCGGGGTCAACGAAACGCGTTTGAAGCCCTGGAGAAAAGAGGCAGGCTATCCGGCCCTTCGAGCCTGATGGGACTGTCGCTCAACTGTTAATCCAGGAAGGACAGATGGCGGAATTTGAATTCAAAACAAATAAAACAAAATAAACAGGAATTAAAAATCTACTGATGACCGTGAGACCGCTGCTAGGAAAGAAATCATCTGGTTCACTAATGCCCTTTAGGGAAGGAAACTGCCATCCTTATCTGGTCTGGCCTACATGTGACTCCAGGCACACAGTCAATGTGGTTGACTCATAAACTGGGATGGCTGAGCGACCAACTGAGTTTGTGTTCAGTTTGGGGCGGTCATTAATGGTGGACCACCCAGCGATGCCCACGTACCACAGGCGAATTAAATGAAAACAAACCTGCTCCATGCGCAAACATGGCTGATCCTCCAATCCCAGCGACTTCCGTCCCTCGAATCTCTTTGCAAGGGCAAAGACACGGATCAAGCTGGTTCTCGAACACCCTCAGTGACTCTACAGGGTCTTGTGTGGGCGGACCACCCTCCGAGCGAAGAAAGGTTTCCTCGTCTCAGCCCTAAACGGCCTACCCACCCACCCTCCCCCAACCCAAGTCCAGACAACAACTTTCGGCACAGCAAGATCCCACAAGGCAGCAGGGACTGTCGCCAGCCGAGGGATAAACCCTGGTGGCAGGGGGAGAACGGCACATCCCCTAACCTGCCCTCCTTCGCCCAAACGGATCTGGAAACTTTTTGTCCCACCACCCCCACCCCATCCTCTCGCGGGACGTGGAGGCGGCTTCGGTCCCCAATTGCGCCTCGGCCGTTTCCAACTCAACCACGGTGCAGCGCCCCCGGAGTCCGCGTGTGGGGGCCCAGACTGGGTAAAGATGGCAGACTTTGTTTCTTAGTGTGGAAACAACAGGCCGCTCAGCCCCTCGTCTGCCATCCGATGAGATCATGGCTGACGTGTGGCCTAAGCAGGTGTGTCTGTTCTGTTTTTAAAAAAAGCACGGTTGTCACAGTCACTGCCGCCAGTTCCAGATTTTTTTTTGAATATAACTTAAACTCCACCAGTTGCCGCGTGGGATTTGAACCTGCGAGTCCCCAGGAGCATTAGCCCGGGCCTCTGGATTACCTGCCTAGTTGACATGACAACTAGGCCACCATCTGTAGAGGGGCAGGGTACCCCCGCTTACCTTGTAAGAGGGAGTGAAGAATTATCTAGAAGGTAAACCACTCGAAGGGTTTAAAAGGGAAATAAAAGACGTGTGGAAAAGGACCGATGGGCAGAAGGACCTCCTGTTGCGCTCTGACCCTTCTGTGACTCTACCAGGGCCTCCCTCCCCCTCAAACTCCACGGAAATTCCCAGCCGGAGATGCTAAAGCCAAGGAAACCACTCGGGCCGGACAAGCCTCTGGGGTGAAGGGTCGGGGGGGGGGGGAAGGCAGCGATTGGAGGAAGTCAGCTCTGTTGTCATAGTGATGGAAGGGCACTGCCTAGAGGTGGGCCCAATGGATGGATTTGGATCAGGGAGGGATGGCGGGGAGAGAGAGAGAAACGAGGAGATTGGCGACAGGAACAGCATAGGCCCCAAAGGCCTCACCACCACCGTAACAATTCAGCCATTCAGCCCATCCCTGTGTACTGAACCCCACTACCCCTTTCCACCGCAACAAGGCTCACCTTTACAAACGGTGTGCTTCTCCGCTGGCTCGTAACCAGGGCTGCACGTGCACTTGCCGACTGGCACGATCCACTCGCCGTCCCCGTTGCAGTAGTGCTTCAGCGGGATGGAGACCTCCACCGCGTTGGGGATGCAGGTGCCGGGAGCGATGACCAGCGACGTGGGCTCGGCCCCAGTCACCGTCTCGGGGAAGGAGGCAAAGCCGGACACCATGGCGGGGCATTTTTTGAAGTAGACCCGGACAGAGAGCAGGGCCATGCACGCCCCTTGGTCCTGAAAGGCCAGGTAGAAGCCGTTGCGGTTCAGCGGCCCCAGGTGGAGGGTCTTCGTGTTGGCTCGGCCCCTCTTCTTGTCGGGGAAGACCGAGTCGGCCGCCACCGTGTCCACTTTGACGTAAGGGTTCTCCATCCAGGCCGGGGAGCCCTGGGTGGCCGAGTCAGAGTCTGACTCATAGTAGTAGAGGTTGAAGGTCTCCTTGCAGGATCCCCTCGAGTCGGGGATAGAGGAGCAGTCCCTCATGGTGAACTTCAGCTCCACGTAAACACGTTGGGCCCCGCGCCGGGGGATGTAGGTGGTGCGCAGCCAGTTGTTCTGGTTGGGCGTGTGGATCTCGCAAATCTCGTACGTCCGCACCGTGCTCGTCTTGTCGTCGATCCCGCTCAGCTCTTCCCACTTGGAAAAAACACACAGAAGTGGGTCGTGGAGTCACACGGCATGGAAACAGCCCTGACCTGGTCCCATTTTCCAGCATTTGGCCCATATCCCTCTAAACCCTTCCTATCCATGTTCCCATCCAGATGCCTTTTAAATGTTGTAATTGTACCAGCCTCCATCACTTCCTCTGGCAGCTCATTCCACACACGCACCATCCTCTGCGTGAAAAAGTTGCCCCTTAGGTCACTTTTATATCTTTTCCCTCTCACCTTAAACCCATGCCCCTCTAGTTTCAGATTCCCCCACCCTGGGGAAAAGACCTTGGCTATTCACCCTATCCATGCCCCTCATGATTTTATAAACCTCTATAAGGTCACACCCCAGCCTCCGACAGCTCCAGGGAAAATAGCCCCAGCCTATTTACCCTGAACCTATCACTCAAACCCTCCAACCTTCTGAACCTTTTCAAGATTAATAACATCCTTCCTATAGCAGGGAGACCAGAATTGCATGCAGTATTCCAAAAGTGGCCCTAACCAATGTCCTGTACAGCTGCAACATGACCCTCCCAATTCCTATACTCAATGCACCACGCTCCAGGGAAAATAGCCCCAGCCTACTCGGCCTCTCCCCGTAACTCAAACCCTCCAATCCCGGCAACATCCTGGTAAATCTTTTCCGAACCCTTTCAAGTTTCACCACATCTTTCCTATCACAGGGAAACCAGAAATGCGCGCAGTATTCTCTTCGCTGTCAGCAAGAGACACTGGCTTGGGGAAACCATGCAGAAAGCTAGCGAGGGCTAAAGGGGATCAGAAGTTGTTGGGAGAAACTCGCCAGGTCTGGTAGCAGCTGTGGAGAGAGAGAAACAGAGATAACTTTGACGTTTCAGTGACCTTTTTTCAAGAAACTCTCTCTGTCTCTCACCGATGCTGCCACACCTGCTGAGTTTCTCCAGCAACTCCTTGCTTTCTTGCTTCAATCGCAGTTTTAATGGGGGCGTTGGTTCTTATTTCAAGGAGGCCAGAGTAGAAGAGTAGGGGATTGAAGTATAAGAGTAGGGAAGTCTTACTGGAGCTGTACGAGGTGTTGGTGAGTCCATGTCTGGAGGACTGTGAGCAGGTGTGGTCCCCTTTATTTAAGAAAAGCTATCGTTTCTTTGGAGGCAGGTCAGAGAAAATTCACTAGGAGGAGTTCGGGAGAAGAGTCACCAGACTCAAAACATTTACTCTGCTTTCTTCCAACAGATGCTGCCAGACCCGCTGATTTTCTCCCAGCAATTCGTGGTTTTCTTTTGTTTAAGATGATCCCCGGGATGGAGGATTGCCTTATCAGTAAAGGTTAAACAAGTTGGGGCTCCGCTCCCTGGAGTTTAGAAGAACGAGAGGTGATCTCATCAGAACATGTTAAGGGGCTTGTGGTGGATGTTTTCTCTCATGGGAGAGTCTAGGACCAGTGGACACAGTCTCAGAATAAATTTAAGACTGAGATGAGGAGGTATTTCTTCTCTCAGAGAGTTTGGAACTCCTTGTCACAGAGAGAGCTGTGCAGGGGGCAGAGTCCCTGCGTTGCCGGGATTGGAGGGTTTGAGTTACAGGGAGAGGCCGAGTAGGCTGGGGCTATTTTCCCTGGAGCGTGGTGCATTGAGTATAGGAATTGGGAGGGTCATGTTGCAGCTGTACAGGACATTGGTTAGGGCCACTTTTGGAATACTGCATGCAATTCTGGTCTCCCTGCTATAGGAAGGATGTTATTAATCTTGAAAAGGTTCAGAAGCTTGGAGGGTTTGAGTGATAGGTTCAGGGTGAATAGGCTGAGACAGATTCTTGATTGGTCGGGGAAATCAAGGGTTATGGAGAAAGGGTAGGAAAGTGGATGTGAGGGATGTCAGATCAGCCGGGAACCTATTGAATTGCAGGCTTGAGGGGATAAATGGCCGACTTATGGTCTAATGGGGAGGCAGTGCTGCACTGGCGATGTCTCTGGATGAGAGAATCACAATCCCTGAAGCTCTGGTAGATGTGGGTTCGAGTCCCACCAGATGATGGAACTTCAATCCAATGAAATATGGCGAGAAACCATTGCCGCTTGCCTTGGTTCACTCGTGCAAAGGATCAGGAGGCCATTCTGCCCCTTAAATCTGCACTGCTGTTCACCGAGATCTCTACTTCCACACCACATACCTGAAACATCCTCCATCCACCTCCATCTGGAACATACTTAGTGACTGAACCTCTACAGCTCCCTGCGGGAGTGAATTCTAAAGATTCACCAGTTTTTGAGTGAAGATATTCCTTCCTCAAAAAAACCGAAAGAACTGCAGATGCTGTCAATCAGGAACAGAAGCAGAAGTTGCTGGAAAAGCTCAGCAGGTCTGACAGCATCCGTGAAGAAAAAAAAAAATCAGTTAACGTTAATGACCCTTCCTCTGAACAGCTTCGATACCACCCAGAACAAAACAGTCCTCGAATGGCACCGCACTAATAAATAACTGAGGAAGGGTCACCGGACCCGAAACGTTAACTGATTTTTCTTCACATATGCTGCCAGACCTGCTGAACTTTTCCAGCAACTTCAGTTTAAATCTCTCCCTCCATCTCAGTCCCAAAATGGCTTGCCCCCTCCTTAAGAGACTGTGAGCGACCCCTGGTTCGATAATCCTGCCCTGTATCCGCCCAGCAGGAATTTTACAAGTCTCAATGAGAGATCCTCCTCAGTCTCTCCTCTTACAACAGTCCCACCGTTACATGTAGCTCCAGGGGGAATTTTAAACAGACTCTGTTTGCTGGGAGGTAGATTGGTGACTGAGGGTGCTATAGTCCAAAACTACAGTGTCAATAATCACCCTTACAGACAACCACAGAGGAGCGAAGCCCATTGTAAGCTGGAGGAACAACACCTCATTTTCCGCTTGGGGACCCTACAGCCCTCCGGACTCAACATTGAGTTCAATAATTTTAGGGCCTAAACTCTCCCATGTCCCAGCCCCCCCACCCCACACACCAGGCCTTGTTACCACATAGCCTGCCACTACACACCCCCTGTTGTTAGTCACTAACAGTCCCCCATTAACAACTATTCACCCTCCCAGCCTGATTGTTAGCAATTCCTTTGTCTGTCCAACTGTCTTTCTCTCTCTCTGGGCTCTATCTTATCGTTTACTCCCTACCCCACCCACCTCCCTATTTTCTGCATATAAACTGACATTTTCCCAGCCACCATCAGTTCTGAGGAAGGGTCACCGGACCTGAAACGTTAACTCTGTTTTCTCCTTCACAGCTGCTGCCAGACCTGCTGAGCTTTTCCAGCAACTTTGTTTTTAGAACATAGAACAGTACAGGCCCTTCGGCCCACGATGTTGTGCCGAACTTTTACCCTAAATCTAAGGTCTAGCTATCCTCCACCGCGACCTTATACTATCATCCATATGCCTACCTAATAGCAGCTTAAATGCCCCTAATGAGGCCGACTCCACTGCCCTCTCCGGCAATGCATTCCACGCGCCTACCACTCTCTGAGTAAAGAACCTACCTCTGACATCTCCCCTATATCTACCTCCACTCACTTTAAAACTATGCCCCCTCGTAATAGCTACCTCCACCCTAGGAAAAAGTCTCTGGCTGTCCACTCTATCTGTACCTCTGATCATTTTGTACACCTCTATCAAGTCACCTCTCATCCTTCGTCATTCTAAAGAGAAAAGCCCTAGCTCTCTCAGCCTTTCCTCGTCTTTGTTCCTGATTTACGGCATCCGCAGTTCTTTTGGCTTTTAACCATAAAGAAAGGATCTCTTTAAACCCAGATTGCTTTAATATTTCTTACGATTCAATGCACAGTGATCCTAACAATCTGTGGTGACTTGAGAGACACACACTGGGATGTAGCTCTGACCAGACTCATCATGAGCTCAGCGCATCACAAAAGAGGTAGCGCACTGGGCAGCTTGCCCTCTCCACGTCTGTTCTCGTCTCTCGACGCGAATAAACGCTATTGAACGGTCCGCCCTGCGGATTGGCACACCGCGAACCCTCCCCACCCTTCGGCAAACACGAGCCATTCGGAGCCCGAGAAAGCTGGGGAGCGAGTTTACCGGTCAGGGCTCTCGTATTGCTGCGCGCACGGTGTTGCGACTCTGCCTTGACTGACGCTGCGCGGGGTTTGCAAGCTCGTAACGTGGGCCAACGCCAAGCGTTCAAAACGCTTCTGGAACCCGCTCGCCGTCGTGGCTCGGGGCACGCAGTAAACGCGACCGTGCCCGCGAGCAAGGGGTAGATTTTAGCCTCTGGGGATTGCAGCATAAAAACTCCCTCATCTCTTCCTCAAAAACAAAACGCAGTCAATGCCGCAATCATGTGACATCGGTGTCGCTGGCTGGCCAGTGTTAATTGGCCGTTGACAGAGTGGTTGCTGGGCCGTTTTGGACGGTTGCGAAGTGTCAACCACGTTGGCTGTGGGTCTGGAGTCACATGTAGGCCAGACCGGGTAAGGACGGCAGATTTCCTTCCCTAAAGGGACATTAGCGAACCAGCTGGTGTTGTGTGTGTGTTTTTTTTTAAAAAAGCACACAACGGTCAATGATAGTGGTCACAATCGCTATTGGAATTGAATTTAAACTCCAATGGATAATCAGGGTAGTTTCGAATGCCATGGCCTCCCAGGTTATGAAGCCAAAACCTCATCGCTATACCACTGTCCCATTGTCCAACCTTATCTGAATCACAGAATCCCTACAGTGTGGAAACAGGCCCTTCGGCCCAACAAGCCCACACCGATCCTTGGAGCATCCCACCCAGACCCATCCCCCTATAACCCACCTAAGCTACACCTCCCTGAACACTATTGGACATTTTAGCATGGCCAATCCACCTATGCTGCACATCTTTGGACTGCGGGAGGAAACCCAAGCAGACATGGGGAGAATGTGCAAACTCCACACAGACAGCCACGCGAGGGTGGGATCAAACCCGGGTCCCTGGCGCTGTGAGGCAGCAGTGCTAACCACTGAGCCACCGTGCCGCCCCAAATCTTCCTCCCCTTATCCCAGCTTGTGTACCCGAGAGCTGAGCAGCTCTTTGAGAAACTCCCCCTCTCTCCAAGGCATTGACATCCTTCCTGAAGTGGGATGGCCAGAAATGGCCGTCAAAGCTCCAGCTGAGGCCTAACCAAAAGGCTTGGAAGGTTTTCCTTACTTTTATACTTGACTCCTCGGTTTCTAAACACAGTGCGTGTCGAGAGTCAAGCAGAGAGCTCTGGAGGGCAAAAGGTTAAAGTTAAATAAAGGATAGAGGAAGACAGAGTTTAAAAAAAATGGATCAGATTCTCACCCCGGTCTCTGGATACACCATCCATTTCAGGTCCGCTGTTTCCAGTCTCGTGTTCATCAACATTTCTGCAAACAAGAGTAGAAATAAAATGTTTTTCTTTTCCGCCCTCTCTCTCTCTCGGAAAGAAAGTGCCACAAAATTCATTGAAATTGTCAAACCAGGTGTAGGTGGGGCCTTTCTCGTGCAAGCCCAGCGAACGCTCATCTCACATCGGCCAGGGAAAATGGCGCAGAAAGTGTACCTCGCTCTCGGTTTGAGGCACAGCACCAGGGTCTCCCACCCCCACCCCCACCCCCAGCTCTCTCACTTTAGAGTCTGCGAAGAGCCGGGAGGATTCCACCCAACGCTCCAAAAGCGGTTACTCTCCAAGCCTTCGGTTAGGCTGGGTCACTGGCCGCCATTTCTGGGCACCCCACTTCAGGAAAAGCCGCTGCCCTGGGACGGTGGTTCCCCAACACTGCCCCCACCCCCAACCCCAGGGATGTGAGAGTTTCCCCTCTTGTGGGAAGCGGCGGGGTGGGGGGGGGGGGGGGGGGGGGGGGAGGAAGAGGCTGGCGTACGCAGCAAGATCCACGAGCCGCATGGCCAATTTCGGTGCCGAAGACCGAGGGAGGGATCATCCAGGAGGCCGCTTAGTTTATTATTGGGCGTGTTGGGGGAGAGGGGGGGTGGAAAGGAGGGGCAAGAGGGGGTTGGTGCAGGGCGAAACTCTCTCCGTCTCAGATGGTTCCTGGCTGACACGGGCAGGGAAGCCTCATTGGGCCGCGAGCACGTTTAGACAAAGCGGGTCCTCCATAGCAACCACTGGGGGCCTGTTTCAGAGGACGGGTAGGCCTTCAGGTTATTAAGCCAAGACCTCGACCCCATACCTCTGCCTCGTTGCCCAACCTTACACAAAACTTTCTACCCTTATCCAAGCTTGTGTACCCGAGAGGTGGGCAGCTCTCGCTTGGCAGTGGGGGGCAAGGGTCACGGATGGACGGGGATGAAGTGGTCAGACTTCCAACAACAGCCCAACTGCCTCCCGCGCGCAAACCCCCCCCGCCCCCGCAACCCCACCCCACCCCTTTCGACTGGTACTGCTGCTGGTACTAGGGCGCGTTCCGAGGGCAACTTTGAATGGACAAATTGGGGCTTAACCTCGCGCCCTCTGGATTACGAATCTAGGCCAGAGCGTTTCACACACGGGAATGTCGCTAACGCTGAAACATCCGAGACAGTCGCAGGAGCAGGCTGTTCGGTCCCTCCACACCACCCCGGCCCCCATTCAAGCCTGTCTCACCGTCCAATATGATCATGGCTGATCATCCAACTCAGTCCCCATCTTCCCGCTTTCTCAATACCCTTCGATCCTTTTAGCCCGAAGAATTATATCCAACTCCTTCTTGAAAACATTCAATGCTCAATTGCCATGGGACAATTTAGCACAGCCAACCCACTCTAACCTGCACATCCCTGGGCACTATGGGACAATTTAGCACGGCCAATCCACCCTAACCCGCACATCCCTGGGCACTATGGGACAATTTAGCACGGCCAATCCACCCTAACCTGCACATCCCTGGGCACTATGGGACAATTTAGCACGGCCAATCCACCCTAACCCGCACATCTTTGGACTGTGGGAGGAAACTGGAGTACCCGGAGAAAACCCACACAGACACAGGGAGAAAGTGCAAACTCCACACAGACAGTCGCCCGAGTGAAACGCGGGGTTATGGGGATAGCGTGGGTGGACTGCTCTGCGGAGGGTCATTGCAGAAACACGTAGGCCCGAGCGTGATGGTTTTCCCCCCAACGTTAAAGGGCATTAGTGAACCCAAAGGGTTATTTTTCTCCCCCCACAAAGAGGCCAGAATTGAAGGAATGCATCCATTTCAGAGGGAGGTAGGATATTACTGAGTTAGGGGGAAGGGGGCGGGGGGTGAATAGGCCAGGGAACGGGTATCGAGGGGGTGATGGGTGAACAGGACTTGGTGCCTATTAGAATTACGGAAAACCTACGGGCAGTACAGTCACATCTGTCCTGGTCCAGAGGTCCACTGGGTCAATTCCAAGCCAAGGAACGTGACTGTGTACATTCCAAACACGCAAGGGAACTCTTCTTGCAACCATTGTTTGGATCGAGAGCTAACATTTGCTCATCTTCAATTAAACAGCCAGGGACCTGCCAACATTCTGTTTACACAGAGTCCGCTGCCAATACTCCAGTTTCTCTATCAGCCCATCATGAAGACAGCACGCACAAACTTGGCAGCGAACCGCATCCAGAGAGCACAGCACTCACCAAAACTGTCTCCCCGTCAAACACGCCCCAGGACAGGGACAGCATGGGGTTAGATACAGGGTAAAGCTCCCTCTACACTGTCCCCCCCATCAAAATTCCCAGGACAGGGACAGCACGGGGTTAGATACAGGGTAAAGCTCCCTCTACACTGTCCCCCATCAAACACTCCCAGGACAGGGACAGCACAGGGTTAGATACAGGGTAAACCTCCCTTTACACTGTTCCCCCCATCAAACACACCCCAGGACAGGGACAGCACGGGGTTAGATACAGAGCAAAGCTCCCTCTGCACTTTCCCCCCCATCAAACACTCCCCAGGGACAGGGACAGCACGGGGTTGGATACAGAGTAAATCCCAATCCATACGAAACTCCCCCCAAAACTCCCACCCCAGGACAGGGACAGCACAGGGTTAGATACAGAATAAAGCTCTCTCTACACCGTACCCCACCCCCCATCAAACACGCCCACGGCAGGGACAGCATGGGATTAGATACAGAGTAAAGCTCCCTCTACACTGATCCCCCCCATCAAACACGTCCAGGGCAGGGACAGCATGGGATTAGATACAGAGTAAAGCTCCCAATTCATTTGAAACTGAGAGTAAAGCTCCTGTCCCAACAAACAAGTTACATTGATATGGCCCCTACAATGTGCAGAAACATATCACGTTCATTTATGATGACATTTAGCTACTCAAATATGACATTGAATTACAGGACAAGATATTTGGGGTTGGAGATGAGACAGAATTTGCAGGAAGCGGGGAGTGGTCTGTAGGAGTGAGACATTGTAACTTCCCAATTAAAGAAATCTTGGGGACAGACAGAATAGGTGGCTGTATGCAGAGATATCCAAGAGTTTCATATCAAACAGCACAGTTAGTGCACTATATAAGGCAGCACATCCCAGAATCCCACCATTAGACACACCTCCGAGATTAGAGTTTACCAGAAGGTAAACTGGATCTGCTACATATATACTGAGGCCACAGGTCAGAGACTGGGAATGCTTCAGGGGGGAACTCGCACTGAATAGGGAACGGTCTGTCACTGTATAACACTGGGGTACAGTACCGGTGGGGACAGGTCTGTCACTGTATAACACTGGGGTACAGTACAGGTGGGGACAGGTCTGTCACTGTATAACACTGGGGTACAGCGCTGGTGGGGGACAGGTCTGTCACTGTATAACACTGGGGTACAGTACCGGTGGGGACAGTTCTCTCCCTGTATAACACTGGGGTACAGTACCGGTGGGGACAGTTCTCTCCCTGTATAACACTGGGGTACAGTACTGGTAAGGACAGGTCTCTCACTATCCAATTGTTTGCATGCACGCTACACGAGATTGAATTAATTGTTTGCCTATGAGCCTGAAAGCCACCGACAATGAGATAATCAGACATTTGCACGCTCGTATTAAATCCCACTTTGCTCTTTTAATGACACTGCTAATCTGTGTTGAATAATCACTGACTGAAACCTGGTGTAACCTGATCGTGGTCTCAGTCTCTCTCTCTCTCTCTCTCTCTCTCTGTGTTTGGCTGGCTTCAGGGTGAACAACTGCTTTGTCTGGCTGCCTCACTCTCCATCCACTGCAAGAACAGTGCCTCAACTAGAACACAGCGTCACTCCCTACACCAGGCAGCGGGAGCCCATCCAATCCCATTCCTTATCGGAATGACTCATACAGCGAGCAGAGAGATCAAGCGCACCGCGGTGTGATTTGCAGTTTTCCGGGACAAAAGATAAAACTCCGATCCCACGACTGCATCGGGCCTCTCTAATCTTTTCAGTTTTATCAGCAGTTGAGTCACGCACTCTCTTTGATCTCTTAACATTGCTTGTCGAGGGAGCGAGTAGTTTTGGTGTTAGGTTTCACAGTATTCCAGTCAATTCTGTCACATGCAGCACAGAAAATAGCTCACCAACTCCGTATCTCACCTATTCCTTATCTCCGTATATGTTCATCGAACTTCCCCTTAAACCCCTCACCCACGGCTAGCCTCAACCTGTTGCGGTAGGTTCCACATTTCCCGAACGAAGGATGTTTCTCCTGGATTTCCCCGTTGGAATTTACTCACGACCATCTTACGAAATATGTCGGCCACCGTCCCCGCTGCTTTTTGACTTGATTTGTCACATGTACCTACGTACAGTGAAGAGTTTTGTTTTGCAAGCGGTACAGGCAGCTCAGAGCAAACAAGGAACATGGGGTGCTTAGACAGAGCGAAGCACATGAGGTTAGGACTGCACAGGAGATGCACAAAAGCAATTAGATTTGAAATTAGAGAGATCCAGTCAGCAGTCTGATAACAGCAGGGAAGAAGCTGTTCTTGAATCTGGCGGTACGTGTGTTCAAGCCTCTGTATCTTGAACGGAAGAGGTTGGAGGAGAGCGTTACTGGGGTGCGAGGGGTCTTTGATGATGTTGGCCGCCTTTCTGTGGCAACGAGAAGTGTACATGGAGTCCATGGATGGAAGGTTGGCTTCCGTGATGGTCTGGGCTGTGCACCCAATTCTCTGTAGTTTCTTATGGTCCTGGGCAGAGCAGTTGCTACCAGGTCATCATGCACCCGGATATGGTGCATCTGTAGAAGTTGGTGAGGGATGTTATGGACATGCCAAATTTCCTGAGCCGCCTGAGGAAGAGGCGTTGTTGTGCCTTCTTGACTGTCGCATCTACGTGGGAGGTCCGGGACAGATCGTTGTGATCGTCACTCCTAGGGAACTTGACGTTCACCATCTGTACGTGAACTGCAGTTGGCATCCTATCC